TTGACACCAGACAAAAGCCTTCATAGTTCTTAGAACTATTGGCAAAAGTACATACTTTTTGGCATCTTTGCACAAATCACACCACAGGAACTAGGAAATATTTTAGGTGAAGGAATGCCTTTTAGAAGAACTAAGTTCAAGTTTTTGGTCCAGATGGAACCAGACACAGTAAATGGAAAGTGATAACAGTTGATTTTCATCACCGCTAGTTCTTTGACAGCTAAGTGTGTCCTGGGCTTTATACCTTTTTTTAATACCATTCCTAATGCCCTGCATCCCACATTTTAGACACAAAAATGCTTTCTCTGTTATTGAAATCTTAGTAATACTTTCTGCTTTTTTTAATCCCATAACTTTCATGTCAACAATTCATCTCTGAAATTACGAAACCATCGACACACAATAAAACCACAGCATCCGCCATCCTCTAGTTGACTGAGTTAAATGCTACTGTCAGCTGGCATGTGTTATTTCAGAGCTCATGTTCAAGATGCTAATAATGCAACTAAATGATTAAAGGAGAAATTTCTTGAGGACCGGTGGCTAGTTCCTATAACTACTTGGTGCAAAAGCTCATTTTGTAATATATTTCTGCTGGTAAATACAAAATCTGAAAGTAAATCATGCACCAGTTTTTTCAGTGTATAAAAGTATATTCCAAGTCTTCTGACACAAAATGATCAAGAAAAGACTGACTTAAAATAAAGCTATAATTAATTTTACATCTCAAAAGTGAAAAAGAGATATTCGATGTCTGTGAAAATACACATATTTTAGGACTTGTTATGTATCTTTTTTGAATCTTAAATATCTAGGGTTGGATTCATTGCATTGCAACCAGCTGGAAAGCAACAACCAGTATTTTATTAAAAAAGGAAAGTAAATAAGTATTTTTGGGGTGAACTAATCCTCTAAACGATGTTCCTTTGATTAAATAATTTGTTAATCTACTAGACGTAATTCAATTGCACAGTTTGATGGTGTACACGTATATATATATATATATATAGCTTCCACTCGGTGGAGCATCTGGTGGACTGTTCTGAGATCAGCTGAGAAATCTCTTTGTCTTGCACCATATTTATTGTCCACAATCCTCTCCTCTCACCTCTGTTCCTCAGTCTCAGATGAAGTTATTGCTGATCTGACGCTGATGTTCAAATAAATCCTCAACTTCAGCGCTGTAGGCATCGCCTGTGAGAGAAGAGTGAATCAGAGAGGGAACACGTATGTGCTGTATGTTGTGCTTCAGTCATGGCAATGAATCATACCTGCATGGCAGCCATACATAAACACTCTGTGTCCATCATATTTACATCGACAGCGCATGACGTTGTTCATGAAGTCTGACTCAGCCATGTCCAGCGATGGATTTACCTCAACCTGACAAGCACACACAAGAATGAACAGAGCTGTTCAGTAATGAGCTCAATTTGTAGGGCAACCTAGAAGGATAATTGACATGGGCTCCCTCAGGATTTAAGAGTTTTTTTAGAGATTTTTTTTTCCTAAATATGGTCCTCTGGTTAACATTACTGAGAATTTCCCTTTTTCTCATGGCAATATTATTATTAATTATTTTTACAAGTTTATATAAATAATAATGCAGTATAGTTATAATTCATAACTATATATATACACAGTTGATAGCCCCCTTTTGATTTATTTTTATTTCTTTTTTAAATATTTCCCAAATAATGTTTGAAAGAGCAAGGAAATTTTCACAGTATGTCTGATATTTTTTCTTCTGGAAAAAGTCTTATTTTCGGCTAGAATAAAAGCAGTTTTGAATTTTTTTAAAACTATTTTTGGGACAAAATTATTAGCCTCTTTAAGCTAATTTTTTTTCAATAGTCTACAGAACAAACCATCGTTATCAAATAACTTGCCTAATTACCCTAACCTGCCTAGTTCACCTTATTAACCTATTTAAGCCTTAAAAACCTAGTTATATATATATATATATATATATATATATATATATATATATAACTAGGTTTTTGAACATGTTTAAAAGAAATTTCACAAATTATATTTGAGTTATACCTCAAAAGGGAAATTATTTAACCTAGGAGTATAATGACCATTATGTACAATTATATTAAAGAAATAACTAAATATAATCTTATATATAAATATTTAAAAACCATAAGGGTGAACAAGTGTCAAATTTAGGCATTTTACTGTGCTAGCCTGAAGTAATACAAGTTGTGTAATTTATTTAGTGAGGTTTCATAGCACACATGCAAAACCCACAAAGATTTAAAGCTTGTAAGGAAATATTATGCAATCCAATCATTAAACCGCTTCACAAATTGGGTTCAACAAAGCGGTCTCTTCAACTACTGTAACTTAATATCACAATATAATGGTTTAAACATGCTGTTTAAGCACAGTTAGGGGCAGGCCTGTCACAATAATCAATATATCAATATATCAGTGTAACACATGAACATGACCTCAATCATTTTGGTGATGCAATATACTGTATTTCTCCCATACATAAAAACCAATTCTAGCAACATTTTAGCTGATTGCGCAACATCTCTTTCTCCTCTTGGAGGTGTCAGTGTCAGTATGACTTAAACACACACACACTATAGTGTTTACTATAAACTACTATCAGTGGTGTAAAGTAACTAATTACAAACACTCAAACTGCTGTAATTGAGTAGTTTTTCTCAGTATTTACTAATTTTAACTCAGAATTTAATTTAATTTACTAAGCAGTTTTATAAATGTGTACTTTTACTTTCCCTTGAGTATATTTTTAGTGCAGTATTGGTACTTTTACTCCACTACTGTGTTTCAACCTGCAGACACTACTTTATTTTTTCTTGTCTATGGGGATTAGAAAATTCAGTCCTGTGATTCCTGTCCGATCAAATCACACATAGAAAGTAAATCGCATAATATTGAACTACATCAAGACATGGGGGATTTATAATTGTCTAATGATTTTACAGCTTGACGTTGTATGGACATTAACACTATGACCTCTATCAGAGGTTGGATTTTGGTTTCCAAATCTAATGAATAAATGTCAATATTTGATGTCAAAATAACGTTTTCCTTAGACTCTGACAAGACATTGAATTTTGGTCACTTGACATCACATCCTATATCTAACCTAATATTAATGACATTGTGTGCCTGCTGGGCAATCACTAAAAGCACTACAGAATGTTACACACATCCACAAATTACATGTAAATGCATTAGCTTTTTACAGCATAATACTTACTACTCACTACTTTTACTTATATACTGAGTAATATTTACAACAGACACTTTTACTCTACTTGCACTACATTTTTAGGCAAGTAATGGTACTTTAACTTCAGTATGATTTTTCAGTACTCTTTTCAACACTGATTACTATAGTATATTTTCATGTGGGTGCCTGACAACTGAAAGTAGATCTGGTAGCAGATATCGCAGCTTACTTTATACCTTGCACTTTTTTGTTAACAATTATTATTATTTATTTAGGATATGTGATATCACATTCTGATTCCAATGCCTAATTACTAAACTGTTTAAAAGCCTATACTAAAATTAAATGTTCTTAAGAATAAAATATTATGTGTTTTTTTGTAAGAGTGTACTTGCATTGTGATAATATTATATTGTCATTCTGGCATTATATAATGAGTGGCAAAAAATGGTCTAAAAATGAAAATAATGTCGTTTATCATAATACATTTCGGTGAAATATATCAGACAACAAAAAATAGATATCGTGACAGGCCTAGTTAGGGGTCAAAAGATCATCCTCGAGTTGCATTAGTCTGCAGACATTTAACATAACTATGGCTTCAAGGTTTAAAAACTTTACTAACGCTGAAACAACAGTTCTTTTATTTTATCTTCTTGTCATAACGCTCAAGCAGCCCATGGTAATTATTTTAATAGCACATTCTAATACGAGTTTCACTTAAGCTTTATTTTATTTTTGTTTGTGTGCAACTATAACTCTGCTCTGTGAAGATCTGGGACTGTGTGAGCATATGTTACAGCGAGAAAGTGCCTGTAAAACAGACGGGCGTAAATCCCTCTCAGCCTAATTGAGCATGTCTAATAGAGGGGGATACAGCACGCTTTTCTCCTCCAGCAGGGAATGCTTAGCGCTGGGTTATTTTGGGTTTCGAATTAAAGACAAGCGACTCGAAGAAAGATCAACAGGTTTGCCGGGGTCATCAAGTACAGCTGCTTCATTTACGCCACGTTTCTTACGCTTGTATTGGATAGCTGGCGTTATTCAGCATAGAGATGGGAACTCTGACCTTTAAGTATCACCACGAGCACTTGCCGTGCCATACATAGAAGCAGTCCTGATTGCCGGTTTGTAATTAACATCTGCCAAACGTGCTTAAAATACATGTAAATCTATCATGGCAACATTTCGAGCAAATAAATCTTCAAAATGGTCAAAGCACGAAGGTACACTGTAATTAAAACAAAGCTTCGCATCAACCTATATTTTACGACCGGGGCCTCCTGACCGGTCCCTAAAGCAGCTCTGTGATTGGTCGGCTCTGCATGTGAAGCTCAGCTGCTGAAGTGCTCTCTGTGCCCGCAGTGATTTAGATGATTAACACGTTCCAGAGTTAATGACAGAGGAAAAGTGGCTGCACTGCATCCTGGAAAGAGAATCTGCTCTTGAAGGAATGGTGAAAAACGGTCTGTGCCATTGACTGCTGTTTTAAAGGGTTGAGATGTTCTGAATCGTTTTCACCTGCATGATGTAGTCTCCGGGCCTCACGTCAGTGATGTCTATCCACTGGCAGTCGATATCGTGTCTGTACGTGTCCCAGCAGCCTACTGAAATGCCTTGATCGCCATAATTGTAACATGAAAAGCGTTTATGAAGTCCTGAAGAAACAGATGAAAGCAGTTGCTGTTCAAAGACATTATTTCACATTTTGGTGTCCAAATCACTGACAAAAGTCAGATTATATACATAGAAAGCATAGTAAATGCAAATAGTCTATACTAATGTTTAAGAGGCACTGTAATGATATAGCAGAGATATTCTGTTCTGACAAAGAAAAGCTTTCAGAATCTACAGTTCAGTGCTGGATTTGGCCTAAAACCTCTCCTCGAAGGAGCAGTTCCAACCCAAATGGAAGTAGCTGTGGATTGTGAGTAGCCCAACACTAATAATGTATCACAATACATTATGTTAGCTGACCAATCAGAGCCTGTTAAGGGCAGGCCTTCGAAGGAACCAGGAAAATATGTGGTTTAAATGTTAGCAGAGTATTAAAGTATTAAAGCAGTGGTCACCAAACTTGTTCCTGGAGGGCCAGTGTCCTACAGATTTTAGCTCCAACCCTAATTAAACACACCTGAACAAGCTAATCAAGGTCTTACTAGGTATGCTTGAAACATCCAGGCAGGTGTGTTGAGGCAAGATGGAGCTAAACCCTGCAGGGACACCGGCCCACCAGGACCAGGATTGCTGACCCCTGTATTAAAGAATAAAGTAAGATATGTGAAAAAATAACGTGATTTTTTTTTACAAATGACGCATGAGCACACATTGCTTTGCACCCCATGAACATAAATAAGCCTTAAAAATAGACTCTGCTCCACCCCTTTAACATATTTAGTCTTTTACCTTCAGGACAGTAGGTGTCTTCCAGACAGAAACTGGCTTTGTGTCCTTCTGCTACTCGGCTCCCATTGAGAGTGAGCAGATCATAATGCGTAAACACTTCAATGCTGTGATAATGCCTGAAATAAAAACATTCAAATTAATAAATTTCAGTAAAATCATGTTATCATGTCACTAATGTTCATGCAGAGTTGCACCATTTGTAAATTATACTTTAGGATCAAATGCATGTTACACTTTTTAAAAAAATACTGTAAAAATTACAGTAACTTACTGTAAATTTGTTATTTGCCAGTAAAACTGTAAATTTATAAGAAAACTGTAAATAATTACAATTGTAATGTATTATTTTTATGTTCAATTTTCCTTCAGCTTAGTCCCTTGTTTATCAGGGGTCGCCACAGCGGAATGAACTGCCAACTAACTAAGCACGCGAACATGGGGAGAACATGCAAACTCCACACAGAAATGCCAACTGGCCCAGCTGGGACTTAAAACAGCCACCTTCTTGCTGTGAGGTGACGGTGCTAATCACTGAGCCACCGTGTTGCCCTCTTTTTTTTTTTTTACATTACAATTGTAATTATTAATATAGAGCATGCTTGTAAATTTACAGTCTTATTGGCAACCAAAATTGGCAGTACTTTATATGCCCGTACAACAAAATGCCAGTACATTTTTTACAGTGTACTTTATTACTTTGAATATGCAATCCAATGTCTATATTTCTAATGAGCACCTAAAACACCCTAGCAATTGCATAAGAAGTTAAAATACCTTCAAAGTTAAATAAGTCATGACTACATAATACAGTGCAGTCATATTTGTTACATTTGGCAAATGTAAATGGACACAGAAACCCCTATAGTTGTGTTAATAATGATCAGAATTTAGCAACATCTGCACAACCACAAATATTAGAACTGTAATAATAATACCACTCATAATATCTACAAGATAGCAACATCCTGGCAACCACCTATAACCAACTATGATCATATTAAATAAATAATGCTCACAATTCATCCACCTACAACACAAATTAGTACAAAATGTCACTTAGAAGACTTTAGCAACTGCATAGATGTTAAATGAAGAGGGGCCAGGCTGCAGAAAAGCCATCTGAGCTGCATGTACTGCTTTTGAATGGGCCCATCTAACCCCACCTCTAAGCTTACCTTTCACAGTGACATCACTAGCTCCATAAAGTGCATTGTGTCTGCACCCAGATACAATTGGTTGAATGTAATACTACCCAAAATATCTTCAGGGTTGCCAAGTTGGCAACTTTTAATCACTTTCCATTTTTTTATGTGGATTAAAGATTTGAAATATTAAATGAGTTATATTTATATTGTATTTATTGGTGGTGTTGAAATTATATAGGTTGTGATAGATAGATCTTTTCGACCAAAATGTATTTTGCAAATGTTACAAATTATGCTCCAGAGAATTATAAAAAAAAAAAAATATATATATATATAGCTAGCGTTTGACAAAGTACAGCTGCCAGAATCACTCTCAGTTCAGAGCTGGATTTGGCTAAATATTCCTCCAACCGACGAAGCTGTGGATTGTGAGCCACAACCTGAAAGTATTTTTATTTGTTTAAATTGATCAATTAGGCACAGTTTCTAGTGTTAATGGTATGTTGTAGCAAGGCCGTAAACAAGGATGCAAACAATGGGAAATGCTGTTTGGCACCACTAACAACTTAACTACAAATTTATATTCATCAGTCAAACCGCTGTAAACAGGCACAATCCTCAGCATCGCTGCGGTGTCTTTACATCTCAAATAACAAACTCGCAAAAGATATGTGAATGTTTCATATTACTTACACATGCTCATAAGCTGAATATATGTGAAAGACACTTGACAGATTTTATTTTAGAGAGCAGAAGTGAGGTTCAGATGTGTGAATCTACAAATGAAGCACGAGCACACATTGCTTTGCATCTTGCACAACTAAGCCTTGAAAAATACATGGTGGACCACTGCTTTAAATTAATTTCACAAGTTAGGGGTTCACTTCCGCTAAAGTTTATAGGTCATTGGGCTAGTTTTGTTGCAAAAACCTAGCAACCCTCCCTGAATACCATATCAACAGCATATCACTGTTACAGCAATCACCTTTAACACCCTGTAATCATGGCGGGAGTTTCTTCCAAAATATGTTAGAACCCTGTTGACTTGCTGGCTGGCAAACATGGAGGAACAAAGGTTCACTATGGAGCTCTGCCCAATGACCTCACTGCTCCCACATGAAGGTGTTGGCTAACGGTAACACCCTCAAGAGGAAGTTGTTGTTATGCTAACAGGGTTATGCTTGCAGAGATGTTTATTCAGCTCGACTGAATAGATGCTTTCAAATGCCAACTTTGCTGGTTGTTGTTCTAAAAGATTAATAAAACAGGTTTGGCCTGTGAACATGCGAAGCCCGCAACTCCTCCACAACAGAGTGCCTTGTTCCCACAGAATAGCTCTGCAATTATTTTGAGAGTGCATATAAAGGGAGGTGCTCAAAGCAGCTAATTAATCTGAGAGATGACGGCTGACCGCTCTTTACCTGTTTCATAGCAGGAGTGAGTGTTCCTTTCATTGCACACTGACACGACTGACTCAACTGAAAGAATATGGCACCACAAATACTCATGTAGAAACAAAGGTGGTCATACGTCAGGGTTTTTCCTATATGTTGAAGTTCCATGTGCTGTCTGCATTATTTTAGTAAGCCATTCATTAAAGTAACGTATGCAAGAGCTGGTTCTGAAAGGCACTGTTGTGGAGGAAACTGGGATCTGGTGTGATTCACTGGGAAAGTACACTGATATTTCAAAATGAATTTAAAGTAATAAAAAATAAATAAAAATACAAAGCTTATAATATTGATTATAAAATAGATAGACTATGGATAAATATTATATTTTTTAAATGCAGGAAAAAGTAATAAAAGCAATTAAAAAAGAACAAAGCCGATTCAAAAATAATTTAATATGAAAAAGGTAAAAAAAATAAATAAAAAAAATATTACAAATTATTAAAAAGTTAAGAAAAAACAATCAATTAATAATATATAAAAATATATTATATACTTATATAAATAAAAATATAATTAAGCATAATAATAATAACAACAATAATAATAAATGCATTTTTAACAAAAGATCAAAGTAAATTCTTTGCATGTTCAATGCATAATAATAATAATAATAATAATATATAAATGCAATATAAATACATAAATAAAATAAAAAATAAATAATAATAATAATAATAATAATAATAATAATAAATGCATTTTAAACAAGAGATCAGTGTAAACTCTTTGCATGTTTTAATGCCTAATAATAAAAAAAATAATAATAATAAATAAATGTAATATCAATAAATAAATAAATAAATAAATAAATAAATAATAATAATAAATTTCTAACAAAAGATTAATGTAAATAATTTGCATGTCTTTTATTGCATAATAATATTAAGAATATAATAATAAGAATATATAAATGTATTATAAATATATAAATAAAATAAAAATAAAATTATTATAAATTATTATAATAATAAATGTTTTTACAAAAGATCATCGTAATTTTTTTGCATGTTCTTTAATCCATAATAATAATAATTAATTTATTATTTATTATAATTATTATTATTATTATTAATATTAATATTATTATAAGAATATATAAATGTAATATAAACATTTTAACAAAAGATTAATGTAAATCTTTGCATGTTCTTTAATACATAATAATAAAAACAACAACAACAACAACAACAACAACAATAATAATAAATGTATTTTTTAACAAAAGATCAATGGAAATTTTTGTATGTTATTTAATGCAAATAAAATAAAATAAAATATAATAATAATAATAATATAATAATAATAATAATAATAATAATAATAATAATAATAATAATAATAATAATAATATAATAATAATAATAATAATAATAATAATAATAATAATAATAATAATAATAATAATAATAATAATAATAGCCATCTTCCAGCCTAAACCACGGCGAATGAAGTTCTGCACAAGACTTTTGGCCAGCGGAGAAATTAAAATGGTCGTGCCCAACTGAGTCTGGTTCTCTCAAGGTTTTTTTTCTTCACTCCCATCAGGTGAAGTTTTTTTTCCCTCTCCGCTGTCGCCACTGCCTCGCATGGTTCAGGATTGGTAGAGCTACGCATCGATGAATTTGCTCTTCAGTGTTTGAACTCTCAGTAATGATTAAATCACACTGAACTGAGCTAAACTGAACTGAACTGAACTTAAACACTAAAACCTGAACCACACTGTTCCAGTTACTGAACCACACTGTTCCAGTTACTATGACCATTTATGTGAAGCTGCTTTGACACAATCTACATTGTAAAAGCGCTATACAAATAAAGCTGAATTGAATTGAATTAATAATAATAATAATAATGTATAAAAATAAAAATATATAAATAAAATAAAAATATAATTAATAATAATAAAATAATAATAATTAATAATAATACTTTTTTTTTTAAAAGATCAATGGAAATGGTTTACATGCTTTTTAATGCATCACAAACTTTAAAAATTACCTTTTTTATGAAGTATGATAAACACAGTATTCATGCTATAGCCCAGGGCTTCACAAACTCGGTCCTCAAGCTCTAACTAGACTTCTAAAATCATTCTTGCATGAGTATTGAGGCAGGTTGGAGCTAAAATCTGCAGGACAACGGTCCTCCAGGACCAAGTTTGAGTACTCCTGCTATGGGCTATTCATGCTGTCATGTGATATATACAGCCCCTCACCTGTGGCACTGATGCCAGGTCCAGGACTCCCTTGAAGCCCGTGGCCGGAAGTCGGCTCTACCCAGATTCATGATCCGGGAGGAGAAGCGCAACAGACGGCGATGCCCGTACGGCCACTGCATGCGGCTGGCAGATGAGGACAGACAATTCTCCTCATGGGCACAGGTGAGCAGATGCAGAGGCCGGTCTTCCAGATAAGAGCTCTCCTGAACCAGCTGCGCATCCAAAACCAGGTCAGGTGCAGCTAAAACAGCAGGGTGATCCATTAATCAGTGGAGATTTCATTATAAAAGGGCACAACACTGATAAGAGATAACTAAAAATTTTCTTGATTTACTTTAAAAAATTACAGGTCGTTGTATCCCAACGTTGGGTCAATCATTTTTAATAAAATTCCAATTAAACTTTTTAACCCATCGGTTGGATTTATTCATATTTGACACACCCAACATTTGGTTATTACAACCCAGCATTTTGTTAGACTGTAAGAAAATTTATTTTTTAAAACAACACTGTTTATTAGCTGAATTTATGCTGAACTACATTACCCATGATGCTATGAAGGAAATTCCACCAATCAGAGAGTGGCAAAAGAGCAACTTCTACCTATATATTCTCAAAATTCCTAAATATTTGATAATAATCATTACTCTTATTCTCCTTTCTAAGTTGTGATAACACTTCAGAATGTTGTTTTTGTGATATAAAGCATTCAGAAAATGAGAAGTAGTCAGAAAAACCCATTTGCTGTGGTTATAAATCAGGCTTATTGTAAATATCGACTTCATAACTCTTCTGAAGTTATAAAATTGTTATTGTGTTCTAAAAATTAAAGTTAACATGTTTGAAAAACATGGCACTTTTTTGCTGTTTTATGCAAACTCTGACAACATTTTATTTTAAATATTGAAGAAATCACCAGAAGTCATCAGAAGTTACATCAGTAGTAGTAATAAAACAAATAAAGCATTGCTATAGATAAAACGAACAACTTAAAATTAATAGATTTATATTTTTCCACCATTTTTTAACGTTACTTTACCATAATTTCCCATGCTTAATGAGACTGTAGTTCTTTCTCTCACTAAAGTTGTTAACTACATTATTGAACCTTCATCTTTCTGTAAAAAATTAATATAACTCTTTGCTTCAAATCAAGGTTTAGCTGCATCCCAAATGGCACACTATACAGTATGCACTATGTACTTATGCACTTACACACTCAACAGCATAGTATATGTATGGTGTCGTCTTCAAATGGAACACTAATGGTTTTTTACTAAGTTGAAATTAAAACCGTTTCCCAGATGAAGTTTGACGGTTGCCAATTTAGTGAAATAAATGACCAAACTACCAAATAATATCTGCCATGAGTATAACTGCATTCACCATCAGGAGGCAAATAATCACTCTCGTAGGAGAATTTCACTTTTACAACCCAAAATAAATAAAGTAATCCAACATGTGCACCCGATAGCTCCACCCCTTTTGCTATGTGGGCAAAGCTGTGATCGTTGAGTGCGTTAAGTGTCCATCGTTCCACACTCCATTTTAGCGGCGGAATAAGTGCATTATCCTGGTAATTAAAGTGCACTTATTATTTTTTGAGTTTTCAGTGTGAACACACTACTTACACTATTTATGCTACAAAATGGTATAGAATAATACATAAGTATGCGATTTGCGATTAGTAAAATCTTTAAAAGGATGCATTAATGGGAAAAATCCTTCCAGAACAAGCACTGCTGAAAAAGTGGGCAGGACTAATGCATCTACATATTTATTTACTTACTCTCGGAACAGGTGACGCCCGCTGCTTTGGCTCCGCCTCCTCGAGGACAGTGGACATAACTGTTGCGACGGCACTGCTGGATTGACATTTCTGTTCCCACACAATGAGCGCCACTCAACACCACTTCCTCTGCCGCTGGGTCTCCTTGCCAATAGTATGTTTCCTATACATTCATTCAAAGGCCACATCTTATTTGTCTTTATATGAAATGCTATACTTCATTTAAAAATGAAATACATGATGGTAAACTGACATGCTTGTTTATTTATAGTTATGACATTGTGATTTATAATATGGTGTTTTGAAATATTAGATCAGACTTGTGCTCCCTAATGAGGCTGCATTTATTTTACCAAAATGAGAAATTATTGTGCAATAATTTTACTATTTAAAAACAACTTTTAATTTGAATATAGATTTATGAATGTGAATTTATTTCAGTGGTTTAAGATGAGTTTTCAGCATCATTACTTCAGTCTCAAGTGTCACACGATGCTTCAGAAATCAATCTAATATGTTCATTTGCTGTTTAAGAAATATTCATTTTTGCCATTTATTATTAATAATAATATTATTAATAGTATTATCATTGATATTTAAAACTGCTGAACAGTTTTTTTCAGGATACTTTCATAAGCAGAAAGATCAAACTATCCGTGTGTATTTGGAATAAACGCTTTTGTAACATTGTACTATGCAAAGCTGTATTAAATATTTTTAACTACTTTTTTTGGGGTGGGGTGTAATCAATGATCATAATCAACTTACATTTATAATCTTACAAAAAAATATTTATATTTGAGATCAATTTGAAAATACTATATCTAAATTTTTTTTAAATATTTTTAACAACAACTGTAATAATATTAATATTTCAGGGGTTTTTTTTATTGTCCCAGTCCTGCCCTGATAATATATACCCTCACTGGACACTTTATTGGGTACACTTGCCCAACTGCTTGTCAGTGCAAATATTTAATCAGCCAATCACATGGCAGCAACTCAATGCATTTAGGCATGTAGACATGGTCAAGAGGATGTGCTGCGGTTCAAACCGAGCATTAGAATGGAGAGGAAAGGGGATATAAGTGACTTTGAACGTGGCATGGTTTTTGGTGCCAGACGGGCTGATCTGAGTAATTCAGAAACTGCTGATCCACTGGGATTTTCACGCACGAGCATCTCTAGAGTTTACAGAGAATGGTCCGAAAAAGAGAAAATATCCAGTGAGCGGCAGTTCTTTAGGCGCAAATGCTTTGTTGAAGCCAGAGGTGAAGGGCCAGACTGGTTCCAGCTGATAGAAAGGCAACAGTAACTCAAATAACCACTTGTTACAACCGAGGTATGCAGAGGAGCATCTCCTCTCCTGTCAGCTAATAACTGGAAACTGAGGCTACAATTCGCACAGGCTCACCAAAATTGGACAATAGAAGATTGGAAAAACGTTGCCTGATCTGATGAGTCTCAATTTCTTCAGCAACATTTGGATGGTAGGTTCAGATTTTGGTGTCAACAAAGCATGGATCCAGCCTGTATCAACGATTCAAGCTGGTGCTGGTGGTGTAATGGTGTGAGGGAAAATTTCTTGGCACATTTTGGGCCCATCAGTACCAATTGAGCATCACGTCAATGCCACAGCCTACCTGAGTATTGATGCTGACCATGTCCATCCCTTTTGTAAACCTTCTGATGGCTACTTGCAGCAGGATAATGCGCCATGTCATAAAACGTGAATCAATGAATGGCCGGTGAGTGGATATAAATATTCAATTATTACGTTTTATGGAGATTTTGGGGTAAAATAAGATTTGGACAAGCATTGTATAACAGCATAGTACTGCAGATATTGACTATGTACATATCAACAATCTTGATTCCCGTTCTCAGCTCTAGCTCAACAGTTCAAATATGTGCAGTCTGCATACCAAATGTACCTGTCATTCTGTCTCAAAATACCCAGCTTACCGTCACCCTGTCCCACCTCCTCACCTCCACAAAACAACTACTGTATAACACTAATGTTGCCCAGAAATATCCTGCACAGGAAGCTCTCAATGCACTCAGACCGAGGCGACCAAAGCAAACAAAACAAGAGACACATTTAAAGCGATATTACTGGAAAACACAACATTCTTGAGTTGTCTCACCTGATGGGCGCGAGCAGCGAAACCAAAGCCCAGCTGTCTGCACACCACCATGGCTTCATTTATTCCCCAGTTCTCACTGCAGATCGTCCCCCAATGTTTTCGACCGCCGTCCTCCATGAGCACTTCCACGCGACCCTCTGCTGGGTCCCGGCCGCCCGCCAGACGCACCTGAAACACAAACACGCGCAGATCATTTGAGACGCAGACCATGAAAACATTGAAACACATGAAATGCTGATGATATGCAGGGCAATATTTTGAGCAACGTTTCAGGGCAATTTTGTGAAATTATCAGTCTTGGGCACGTTCTGTTAAAAAGAGTAATTTGTTATAGTTACTAGTCTTTGTCAAAAAATAACTAAGTTACAATATTATGAAAGTAACTAAATACCAGGGAGAGTAACTACTGTGTTCAGGGCTGAATTAAGAACATATTAGGCTCTGGGGCTACATCAAATCTAAAGGCCAACCTGTTATTTTTTTACCTCACAAAAGTGTGTGTGTGTGTGTGTGTGTGTGTGTGTGTGTGTGTGTGTGTGTGTGTGTGTGTGTGTGTATATATATATATATATATATATATATATATATATATATATATATATATATATATACACACACACACACACACACACACACTTTTGTGAGGTAAAAAAATAACAGGTTGGCCTTTAGATTTGATGTATGTATATATATATATATATATATATATATATATATATATATATATATATATAGTGCATCAGTTATGAGTCCATTCAGTATGATTCCGCCTAGCCCAGCTTCTGTTATTACATGTGCATTATTTGAATTTTATTTATTGCTCTACTATGAGTTTGGTTAGCCTACCTTTGAATGGATGGCTCTCACAGTAGTCCCGAAATAAGGGACTCATTCATTCATTCATTCATTTTCTTGTCTGCTTAGTCCCTTTATTAATCCGGGATCGCCACAGCGGAATGAACCACCAACTTATCCAGCAAGTTTTTACGCAGCGGATGCCCTTCCAGGCACAACCCATCTCTGGGAAACATCCACACACACACATTTGCACACACACTCATACACTACCGACAATTTAGCCTACCCAATTCACCTGTACCGCATGTCTTTGGACTGTGGGGAAAACCGGAGCACCTAGAGGAAACCCACGCGAAGGCAGGGAGAACATGCAAACTCCACAAAGAAACGCCAACTGAGCTGAGGTTCGAACCAGCGACCCAGCGACCTTCTTGCTGTGGAGCGACAGCACTACCTACTGCGCCACTGCCTCGCCAAAATAAGGGACTGTCCTGATTGGGCTACAGCCACTCTTGAGCCCCAGTTTAGCACCAGCGCCACTGTTTTTGAACAGCAGCGAACCGAAAGGAATACTTCACATTATCGACGAGAGAAAGCATAACGCAAAGAGTCATTTTCCACATCATAACGCAAATTAATACTTCAGCCAATCAAGGGCCCCCTTATTCTGTAGACCATGAGGCCTATGTTAGTCCGGCCCTGATTGTGTTACTTTAAAATAATCTAATTTGTCAAAAGACTATAAGTAGAGACATACATATAAAACATTGTTCACTAATCTACACTACTTTAATGTTGTTGTGAGACAATGTAAGAGACAAAGAAAACTATATATCTAGATAATATATTGTTTAATTCTGTCTGAGTAATAAGTGTTTGCGGTGGAGAAAAATGAAGTTTTATTTGCTTTGACGTCGTGGCTTCATCTTCGCCTTTGGTAGCAGAGCTCCCATTGTCACCTGCGTAGCCATTAATTGTATGGCGGCATGTGATGAGGTGAGGTGAGAATTACTTGTCATCGACGCATAGAGACTCCTTTTTCCTTGTCATAGGTTGCATACATGAACGTTCTTGCCTTTCAACTCAACAAGGGAAAAGTAGTGTTTTTATTTCCAGTTTGAAAACGCTACCATTGAACTTGTTGGATTTGCAATCTTTCTGACTCCTGGTTGTTGGTGTGTGTGACTGACTGTGCGTGAGCTTGTGTGAACAATGGAAAGAACTCTAAGTCATCATGTTCACAAACACACCAATCATCATCACTGGTTGGTTTTGTGTCCCACCAAAGCCCCAAAGACACACACGCACACACCCCAGAGAAAGAGAGGTCCTATGACTGAGAGGGATGCTGCTCATATGAAAACCACTTCAGTGTTCTCAATTACAGTACATGCATTTTTTGTCAGTAATGGTAACAGCATTGTAACGGGTGAAACAGTAATTTATTTAATTATTCCTTACTGAAAAAAGTATCGCCGTTAAAAACTCTGTTTATTTATAGCGCCGTTATTCCCCATCACTTGAAATGATGCAGTCAATGAGCAGGGCAACTAATTAGGGCAATAGGATATAGATATAATATTGCTGCCCATTCTCTAAGAAAAAAAGCTGAGCAACATTGCTCTGTAATATTGCCCAATAACATTAGTAAAAAGTTGCCATATATCATCAGCATAAGAGGCTGTTTACAGCTTGTTCCTTGTTATTTTCTGATCAGATAGCAAGCTGATCGTGAAAAGGACAGGTGTAAATGCCATCAAAAACAGATTTGATGTAAATCTGATCAACTTAAAACCAATCTCTTCCACAATCACCTGAACCCCTGTGAACAAAACCAGGACCTACTTCAGCGTTACTTACACACATACCACATGTCTTCCCTTATACACATTACTACATACAAGACATGTCAAGACATCTTTAAGGTCTTTGTCCTAAAAGCTTCTGTTTGTTAGGCTGGTTTCTCACACGTCATCCCAAAAAAAAGTGACATCCTTTTTTTTTTTTTTTTTTTTGGATTTTTGAGACAGTTGTAGGCTGTGAAATAACTGAAATATCCAGCGTAGTGATATTGAACTGTAATGTGGAATCAAGCATTCAACAGCCCTGTAGTACAATGCAAATACATTTTAATTGAAATAGTTCTAAAATGTACAAATATGTTTTTGTTACAACTTGACTGTGTATTTTTCACAACATTATTAGAATTACAGCATACCAGAGGGTAACCAGAGTTAGTTTTGCTCACCGTATTCTCCACACCCGTCTTAGGAACGTAGCACTTGACAGAAGCGTCCCGGTTGTGTTTGAAGGTCCAGGGCTGGACGTCCTGGAAGAAACAATCTAAAATAGAGCGCTCTGTGCCCGCGCACCGCACTGAGTTCATGTGGATCGGTCCCGTCCCTGCAGAACAAACAAACAAACTGTAAATGTCACTGAGCCTTTACAAGTTAAAAGTCTTAAATATAAAACAAAATAACAAATACCTGGCCTGTCTGAGGACCTGAAGCCATAGAGAACACTGGATACTTTCTCAGAGACCCTTTACCAAACATTGCTAGTGCAATTTCAGCAACTGCTGTCATCTCAGTCTAACCCCTTGTTCTTAAATCTATGGAGGATCTGTATGTTTACCATTGATGGATATTAGTTTACCTTATAATAAATGTCATACTTCATTAAGCCCACAAACATAGGGAAAATATTACTATATTAGTATATTTATGTGTGCCAGTGCAAATATCTCTGAAAAAATAGGTTGTGGCGGCTTTGTAAAACACATGCTGGATAAATGACGACCCCTGGTAAATAAGGGATTAAGTCAAATGGAAATGAATCAATGAAAATAGGCTGTTTTAATCCAAATATGGACAAAAGCGAGTCATTGGGTTACATTTTAAATTATTATTTCATATTTTCTCCCACTTTTTGTTAAAACAGCCCAGCATTTTTAGAATCAAAATAAAAATATATAGGCATGGCGTCATAAAAATAAACTTCATTTAAAGGGAAAACTTTTTTTTTGTCCACACCTGCAGATATTCATTCTTGTTTTAAGGTTAAACTCAATTATTTTTATTTATTATTATTATTTTTATTTTATTTTTTTGAAAATCTTAAATCTTAAGCAAAAAACTGAAAACTCTGTCATCATTTACTCACTCGTCACAAACCTGTTTGAGTTTAACACAAAAGAAGATATTTTGAAACCATTAACCATTGAGTTCCATAGTATTTTTGTAATCAATTGTTGCAGGTTTCTAACATATTTCAAAATATCTTCTTTTTGTGTTCAGCTGAAAAAGGAAGCCCATTATGGTATTAAACCCCTTGACTGAGAGTAAATGATATGTACATTTACATTTTTGGGTTAACAATCCCTTAAAAGGGATAGTTCACTGATAATGAAAATTCACTCTGTCTACTGTAAAAAAAATGTCTGTAAGTTGGTGAGATGCCGTATAAATGCTTCAGAATAAATTCGTATTCCACAAAACATGATATAACCATAGAATTCACAGTTAAAAAGCAAGTAAATTTAACAGCTAAAAATGTTTTAACTGTAATTATTACAACATAAACCCATAAGTTACACAGTTCTGAGCTGTAAAAAAAGATGGTAAAGAACTGTAAATAATACAATGTAAACATTTAAATAAGACAGTTCTGAACTGTAAAAAAGATGATCATGTAGCTTGTGTGGACACTACTGCGCTACTTGCTTAAAATAATAGCTTCGCTACAGAAAAGCTATTTGATTTAGAAAATAGCGATGCTACCGCCACACTACTGAGAAATGTAGTTTAGCTAGTAGCGTCACTACTTGTAGCGACGCTCCTGCCCAACACTGGTGCTACCATATTTTTTACTGTAAAGTTCTGGCAACAGCTGTCGATTTTTTTACCGTAAAATTAACGTGTTTTTTTTTAACAGTATTTACCCTTCCGCAGATACGGTGGCCAAGAGAGCTTAATGTGCTAATTGCGTTAATGTGCAACGCAAACACATTTTTAAAAGATAACAAATTAATGAAACGTTACTTTTTCTCACAGTGCAAACAAATTACAAAAACACGCTGCAATTTCCAACACTTGCAAAAATATTGGAACACAATGGAAATGTTTCAAGGGGACCCAAAAACGTGATGGATGATGCTGTGCCGTGACTTTTGCTCAGTGAAGTTGTAGGTGATCTTTAAAAGGTGAGTTTTTTGTTTGTTTATTTTAACATCCTGTTTCTCTTGTCTTTCGTAATTAAATAGCCTAAATAATCATAACCCAAATAGCTGTGTACGTCCCCCTGAAACATTTCCATAGTGTCACGCTTTATTTGTAAGTGTTGTGAGAAAATGCAGCGCGTTTTTGTCAATTGTTTGCGTTGTGAGAAAATGCAACATGTTTTTAAAAAATGTGTTTGCGTTGTGAGAATATGCAGCACGTGTGCTATTAAATAATAAAGATCTTTTCATAATTTGCTGGCATTTTTGTTATTGCATGTGTTTTCCTAAATGGGGGCATGAACTATCCTTTTAAAAATGTTCACATATTTGTCATTAAAAACAAGACAAAAATACTGAGGAAGAAAATCATTCTTTGCCATCTTACAAGCCTATTTTTACAAAGAACCATGGCTTTATTATTTTGAGACGTTCTAAACGATGTTTAGTGTGAAAGCAGAAATCCTTATCACACAATGCAGGGCCACACATGAGATCAGATTCAGGGGGGTTCAATTGTTTGTGTTAAATCATATCATCGCATGCTTGAAGTTTTATGAAGATAAAAAGCTCGCCTGTGTATCAGATTCCACGGTTCATTTCCGTTTTTGTTTACTGTGACGTAAAAACATTGGTGGATTCAGCCTCAGGTGGCCACTAAATAAGAACTCAGCGTGAACACTGTACTAAAACTGCAGATATGAATCTTACAAAGATACAAAACGCACTACACAGCATAAATATACCAGAGGAGCATTAGCGTAAGAGTAATTATATAGATTTCCCCTAGCTCAGAAATACATGCTGGGGAAATTCGGAGTAAATGAAGTAGAACGTGACATGTGGAAAAACAGTGATTATGTGTTAGTGCGCTGAGTTTGGTTGTACTGATCAAAAAGACTGATTTTGACCACAGAACAAAGTCATGGCCAGCTGTTTAATTTTGAAGCAAAATTGAAGGACCCCAAAAGCAAACAAAGTGACCTATGTGGCTACGCTTCTGGGAAGCAAACTACTAGATATTGGCCAAAACCCTAAAGGTTAATATGGAAATGTTCCCTCACAGAGACTATGACATATAATTTAGGAAGTAATCAAAGATTAGGGACCGAAAGTAAAAGGTCAGTGTCATTGCAAAACCCAAAGCCTGACTACAAAAGATATATTTCTGCACTTACAATAATGTCATGATTTAAGCTTAAATGGCACAATTGGTTTAACTTTAGCGTTAGTGACTACACAGTTTTAGTTACTGCATTTTTATGTTTAACATACATAAAAAATACCGAACAAGATATATAGTAATGAATTAAGTATAAACTTAAATAAAATATAGTAAAATAAAAATAAAAAAGTATATTCATTCATTTATATTTAGCTTAGTTCGTTATTTACCAGGGGTCACCACAGTGGAATGAACCACCAACTATTCCAGCATATGTTTTATGCAGCGGATACCCTTCCAGCCACAACCCAGTACTGGGAAACACCCATACACACACACTCATTCACTATGGCCAGTTTAGTTCATCCAATTTACCTATAGTGCATGTCTTTGGACTGTGGGGGAAACCAGAGCATATATACAAATCTATTTATGCAACAGTTCTGTCTGGTTCTTGAATCTGATTGGCTTATAGCTGTGCAATATTCTGGAAATAACATCACTCGTACAGCCTATTCGCCCTTCACCTTTGGGTATTACTCGGCCCACATACAGCATTAAGCAGAGGACACTCTACAGTTTGACAAATATTGCAGCTGTTGGACAACATAATGTACTTTTGGAACTTTTTTTAGTCAAGAATGCAGATTACAACAATGCAGTTTATTTATAAGTATATTGCCTATTTTAAAATATTTATAATTTCAGAGATTCAGCGCATCAGCCGCCATCAACCTGTCTGTGCAGACCAAAGAAAGTGATGGTTGACATGGCGACAGAGACTGCATAATAAGTCCTTAGAGGGAGAAAAATGCAGTCAACATAAGTTTCAAACTACAGCTAAATAAATCATTATAAAACAGATAGGTGACTTGTCATATGTGACAAGTCGATCTCTCTCTAGTGTATTGTGTAGTGCTATTTCAACCACAAAAGCAGGTAGTGTTTGCTTTGCTTTGGATTTTTAGGCTTTTTAGGGGTTAATTATTGTGATATCCTGGCTGCAACAGAGAAATGTCTCTAGACTGATGGCATTTCATATCGTTCAGCCTTATAATCTTAAAATGTCAGCAAAAATCACCTGTTTTGTCATTACTTTAGACATTATGCAAGAGAATCGTTTAAATTGTTCTAGAGTGATGTTGGTGAATTAGCAACGGTTTCTGCTGTTCTGATGTCAGCTGCAGATGTGAATGGTGGAGGAAAGTAGTTCCTCTTACAAAAGGGTTTTTAAGACTCTCCATGGTTGATTTGTATACACATGATTGTATACACACGAATTGTATACGCACGATTATGCCATCAAACTGTTGTGTATAGAGATAGATAGATAGACAGACAGACAGACAGACAGACGATATATATATATATATATATATATATATATATATATATATATATATATATATATATATATATATATATATATAAATAATTTTATATACATATAAATTCTGCAGTTTCTACAGATTTGGGCGGTATAGCATATAAAACACTTTTTTCAACATTCACAGTTCATTATAATATTCTGATTTAGTGGCCAAAAATATTTTTTTTCAGCATTATTTTAAATAATAAATGTTTTGTACTGTGATTTTGATTAATTAATGCATCCTTGTTGAAAAGTAAAATAATAACAACAGAAATAATTAAAATCTCAGTAGTTATAAAGCAGCATATGAACAAAAAGGCAAATAAATAAAAGGAAAATAGAAGCAAAGTAGTCCAGAAGAGGCAGATGGAAAGAGAGTGGTTTCACAAGAGCGTGGTTTATGGAAAATGGACATTTTCTTCCCTCTAAAAATAAAACAACATATATATTCTGCATTAATGGTGTTTCCTTTCATGGGTGACTATAATCCCTATTTTAGGAGGAGATTAAATGGCTATATAAGAAATATGTCTCTCAGCCAAGTGTAATGTCAGCATAAGTTTAAACCCAGAGGTAAAAAAAAATAAATAAATGTTCTTAAACATTTTGCCTGGGTCATTGAGGGTGCACGCGAGTTGAAATCTTTCATC